AGCCGACACCCGGACCGAGGCAGCACAGGCAGGTAATATCTCAAGGTCCGCGCCAGAGCCGCTGCAGCTCAAGGGGCTGATGGGAGAGGCGGCGAACAGGGCCGCTTCCTTATTAGCAAACTCTCAACACCTGTGCCACAGTAAAAGCGGCTGTAAATTCTCACAGATTTAGCCAATGACCCAATCACCTTAAAATCCAAGGGCTTTACACATCCACCTCCCTGCGGATCCTGAAACATTAGATAAGCCAAGTGTATATACAGCAATCTTTCAGGAGGACTTGAGTTCTTAAAATGTTAGGCAGTTCTTAAAACTTAAGTCGCACTATGTAGATGTAATATGGTAGTGCCTGTTTACTGTGTCTAAACCTTAATTGCGCTTTTATTATGATAATTACAATCAGTCCTGCCTGAAGTCAGCATAGCTTAGCATAGCCAAGTAGAACCAGAGCCATTTTAGCCTCAGAGACTCTCACAGTTTTAGGTACATTGTAAGCCTTCTGAACTGGCAGCTTGTGGCACCGCTCTCATTCTCGGTACTGCTGTGACACCCTCCGGGTCAGGCACCAACTGAGCCGGCGCAACGTGCCCCCCACCATATCCACCCAGCAAAGCTCCTCTCCGGCTGCCCTTTAGCTGCAGCTCCATTCATTCCGAGTCCAAACTGGTGCACGGAGTAAAGCAGAACTCAGAGAAGCAGGCTTGCTGCTCTGCAACCATTGAAAGGGCCTCATTTAATCTTTTAGGGAATTTGGGCGTCATTAGTCTCTCTGGCTATTTCCTGCTGAATTGGGACGTTGCATTTTAGGGGTATACACTACAACATTTTAGGAGGTCTCGGTGATTCAAACCACATAAATCCCAAGTACACCTTTAGGCTCTCATTTTCTGTGGAGACGAAAACAGAACCTCTTTTCCAAAACATCATATCCTTAGGCCCATATTTTAAATTCAAAATACCTTTTTAGCAGTTTCTAAATTCAAATATCTTTCTCCTGTCCAGTACACAAAAGACAACACAAACAATATAACATCAGTCTTCTCCCCCATTTTTATTTTCTTACAACAACCGGGAGGTCCTTTTTACTTATTTGGGACTGTGCACGCATCTAACCTCTCACTGAGCTCAGTTTCTGATATGCTATCCTGGACTTCATAGTCATACCTCTCTGAGCATGTAGACCCGCAGTTCTGAATCCTTCCTGAATCCAAAGTGAATCCAAGAGGTCCCCGTTGGTGTGAGCCGTGGTCAGGGTCCCCCGGCGTCCCGAGGGTTTCAGGCACCAGATATTGCGTCCATCTTATCAGCAATGAAGATGCAACATCAGCCTCTTCTTTCTCGGGTTTCAGCACCAAATGTCCCATGCTATCATCTCGCCAGCAAGAACCATGCGGGACACTAGGATTTTTCTGCAGAAAAGCTTTAATGCGTCCTGAGAGAGAGAGCATCAGCTAACATGGCCGGGGACCCCTAAATGAGGGAACCCAACCTTTATATAGGAAACAGTCCTTGCTTTGGACGTGTCACCCTTGGATTGGGCCGCTGCCCATTAGCCCAGGTAAAGCCTCGGGAGTAGGCAGGGACAGCAGTGGAAAGTTACCGAGCACATGTGCGTTCACCTGGCGGTGAAACCGGATGCCAGCACCATCTTGTAATGGAGCATGTGGATACGGCCCTTCACAATTTACTTTATGTCATTTGATTGTTGAGTAAGGAATCAAAGTAATCATTTTGTGGTGTTCTTTATATTAGAAAAACGTCACCATCGTACAAAAAAATTCAGTAAAATCATTTATCCTTTCTGAAATTTTCTATAGGTTAGCATGTCATACTTCATGGGGTATGATTTTACCTCTTTCTTTTTTCTTTAGGACAAGTTGGTTAGAAACTAAATTTCTTATAAATTAAGACAATGTCTTTATATGGAATCTTGAATAGTAAGTAAAAATACTTCTTCTAATTTCAAAATGGTAGATTTACTTATTAATATAACTAGAAGGTGTAAACTACAATAGGAAATAGTAAAAAAAAAGGAGAAACTAGGGGTATATGCTGTTACACAAGAAGTAAATCTGAGATACTAGCATCATTCTACAAGGATACTATGCACGTCTTCCTAAACAAAAATTTTCTGGCAGAAATTTCCCTTGTTCACCTCTTTCATGGCGTTGATGACATCTTTGTTCCTTAGGCTATAGATCAAGGGGTTCAGCAATGGGCTCAAAAAGGTGTAAAAAACTGCTATTATTTTGGACTCCTCCACGGACTTCTCTGATGGAGGCTTTAAATACATGCAGAAAAGGGTTCCATAAAATACCGTGACTGTTGTCAGGTGGGAACTACAGGTAGAAAAGGCTTTTTGCCTTCCTTCAGCGGAACGGATCCTCAAGATGGCTGCAAAAATGTAAAGGTAAGACAGAAGAATGATACTGAGAGAACTTGAAAGAGTAAAGCCAGCAACCACAAACATGGCCATCTTTTTGACATGGGTGTCAGAGCAAGCCAGCAGGATGAGAGGAGGGTCTGCGCAGTAGAAGTGGTTGATTACACGGGAGCCACAGAAAGACAGGTGGAAAGTGAGCAGAGTCTGAGAGAGCCCATTCAGGAAGCCAAACACATAAGGAAATGTGACGAGAGAGACGCAAACATTCTTGGACATCCTGGTACTGTAATGCAGAGGGCTGCAAATGGCCACGTAGCGGTCCAGTGCCATGGAAGCAAGGATATAAAATTCAGTGATCGCCAGAGCAATGAAGAAAAGACACTGAGTGAAGCACCCAGCATAAGAGATTGTCTTCTGGTCTGAGACGAAACCACGCAGCATGTTGGGAGTAACATTGGAAGAATAGCAAATGTCTACAATGGAGAGGTGCCCAAGGAAGAAGTACATGGGCGTTTGCAGGCGGGAATTGGTCCTGATCAGCACAATCATGCACAGGTTCCCTGCCAGTGTGATGACAAAGATGAGCAGAAACACCACAAAGAGGATCCTCCCCAGGACAGGGCTCTCTGTGAGTCCCACAAGAATGAAATCCATCCCTGTGGTAGTATGGTTGAGGGGGGTCATTCTCTTACACTTGCAAACTCAAAGTGGAAAGAAATGTGAGCAGTGCCTTCGCAATTAGCGATGAGCTGTAGTCCTCACTGATTTTTAGTTGGTCTGCAGCACAATTCCTTTTCTTGTCAAATGCTTTCTAATACCTACATATCATATTCAACCTGAATTTTTTGTAATCTGTGGTTTTCTTTTTATTGTATCCCTCTTAATCACACAGCAGACAAAAAAAAAACCTGAGGTCTCACTGTCTTTCTTCTTTCTCACAATTGTATGCATATTCATTATAGACAGATGCTTTCACATATATATTTACACAAGTACACCTATGTTCTTAGCAATATCCATGTAGAATATATTTTCATGTTTTCTATCAATATAAGATCAATATTTAAGGAAAAAGTTTTAAAGGCATGGCAATTCATCATTTCTATGAACAGAGAAATATTTGCTTTTAGTATTTTAAGCTGCCATACCCTGTACATTTGAAGACAGAATAAAATATCAGCATCTAATACATCATGTTACTCACCACCCTCAATGGTCAATAAGAGAATGAAGAGTCTCTGAAGTTCTGAAATTTATCTTCAAAATTATGATAATCTTTCATAATCTAAGCAAATTTTCAACAGAACATGGTGCTAGTTGCTTAGATTCTTAATAACCTGGGTGGTTACAGAAAGAAATTGGCAATATCTGGTTACCATTGGAAACATTTTTTATTAATTAATTTTTTTTGAAAAAATATCTTTTCTCATTTTACATACCACTCCCTCCCCTCCTCCCTTTCCCTTCACCTTTTCCTCTATCCCACCCCTACTCAGTCTTGGAATAGTTAATCAACATAGCAAAACTGTGTTTCCAAAATTCAAATCCCCACCAGCACCACCAATAACAACAAAGAAATATCCCTAAGAAACCAAGAACTGTTCTCTCTATATTGGATGTTTATCAATACATTATCTCCTGTGCACAGCAAACTCCATTTTCAGACATTATTCATCAATATAAGGTTATGGCTGTATCTCATCCTGTGTCCTCCCAGAGTGTATGTTGCAGAGCAAAAGGAATAGATACGAATTCATACAGAAACCTATGCACCACATTGTCAAATGAAAACAAGCTATGATATTAAAAAAAAAAAGGAAGAAAGATTTCAGATGGAATAAAATCCCTTTCTGAGAGGGAGGATTTGAACAGCCTAAAGGATATTCAAATGTCTACAATAAGTCCATCTTTATAGTGTGATTTTTTTGCTTGTGTAAAATATTCTTGTATTCTAACCCATTTATAAGACTATCTACTAGAGAAAGCACAGATTCTTAACTATGATATCAATGTCAGTATGACCTACCACCCAGAATTTCTATGTGCTTGTAATATCATGATAAAATTGTCTCAATACTTGGCATTAAACCATTGTTTACTTGTTTCTCACAAATACATTAGAGTTCACATACAATAGTGTATATTTTAGAGTCACTAGATATATTGGCATATGAATAAAATTGTCAGGAGTAACTGACAATATATTTTCCCTTGATGATAGATACAATCCATACACACACGAATATATATTAGTTATCAAATACAAAATTTAACCTACCTGCAAATATTGACTTACGATGCATCACACAATGTAGTAAGATTTATGATGTATTTTCTTGGATAATCCCCTAAGTGTCTAAAAAACAGCCTTAGAGGTACAATTTAAATGTTCTTTGATTCTCAAGAGAATAATCGTAATTTGATGTTGTAAGGAGTTTATTCACCTATGAGGCCAAAACCACTCCCTAACATGTGTAAACAATTCTCTCTTTTTCTTGCTCTCTCTCTCTCTCTCTCTTTCTCTCTCTCTCTCTCTTTCTCTCTCTGTCTCTCCTCTTCTTTTCTCTCTCTTCTCTCTTTCTCTACCACTGCAATCTACCATTTTTATCTATTAATTTTTTTTTTAGCTTTAAAAATAGTTTATTTCCCTTTCACAAACACATGAGCCTCTGACCATGATACAAGGCACCCCAAATTAAATAAAAACTTTGAGTATATTTGTCTGACATGATCAAGATAAAATGATTTTAAAGGTGAATGGGCGCCTACCATACACGTGGGAGCAGGCTGGCCCCAGCACGAGGGGGTGGCATTATTCTTAGTGTCTGTTAAAATTGACAGGAATCAGCATGTGTTCATCATGTAAGCATTTATCCAAAATCAACACTCTTAGGAGCAGAACTGTGTCTCAGTTTCTTCTGTCTCTATAATAAGAATGCCAAAAGCACTTCCTTAACATTCAAAACTTTTCCCTAGTAGACTTGGTACGAGTAAGAGAGTATGATTACTAAACATCCTCAATGTGGCTTTCATTATGAAAAAACATGTTTCACATAAAACCTTCATAATACAATCCAGAGGCCAAATTTGTGCATGTTTAAAATTTGAGTCCAGGCTAGATATTTGTTTTTTTTCTTACAGTGTCTTTCATTTTTATAAATATATTCCCAGCCTTCTACTTCTTTAAACATCCTCAGAACTCTTCGCTTTAGGAACCATGGCTGCCTTTCAGTAGACTCAGGTAGGAGACATCCCTAATTTCCCTTCAGACTTACTCCAGATCAAGTTAGTGGTGCCCAAATCCCAGTGTATAAAAGATACAAACATAGGTTCGTGGGCAGTGGGCCAAAGAATAATTAGGAATAATTCCACATGATCTTGGTACAAAAACATCCAGAAAATGAATGATTGCATTTAATATAAAAAGCCTTGACCTGAATTTAAATGAGACAGATGCGGAAGGGGCGAAGCCACGCTATGGGGCTCTCTGCAGTTCCAACCGTTCGACAGCCACATCCAGGTCAGTCCGCCTACGGGCCCCCAGCAGTCACGTTTGAGGTAGATGCTGAAGGCTTGAAGAGAGGTAGGTAAAGTCCAAACCTGTTTTCAATCCCTGCAAATGTCGCAACGGCCAGTTTATAGCCCCCTACGTGGTCAGGATTGGGAGCAGGCAGAGTAATCCGGGATTTAGGAACTGGTTCAGATCCCATGGGCTTCACTCCTCCAAAGTCAACGTAGAACCATCGTTGCAATAATTCATACGTCAGCAAGGTGACACCAAACTGTGGTGAGGACCGGAAGACACGAGCAGCAGCTCCCTTCCACAGAGCTTTGGCGCCTTCTTCCCGCAGGATCTTTCTGAAACAGTCAGCCACACCGCTGTAAGTGGTCTGGCCAGCCCGGGCGGCCACCTGTAATCTAGTCTTGATAACATCAGCAGGGGTCACTAAAGATGCTGCAGGCATACCAGCTATAGCACCAGCTAAGAGCAGGCTTCCCAGGCTGACCTGCCCATCTTCATTTGCAAAGGAAGCCTTCACGTGGGCGTAGCAGGGGAAGTAGATGGCCGAGAAAGGAATGTCCCACAGAAAGCATGCTTTGGCACCCTTGTAGATGCCGAAGAAGCCCAGATCGCGCACCACGGAGAGAGCGCTGACTCTGGGGCCAGTGGTGATCTCCCCAGCCACTTGCAAGCGGATCTTGACAATTTCTAAAGGATTGGTGAAAATTACCTGGGAGCCTCCTGCACAGCCTCCAGCCAAAATCTCTGCAGAAAGTGGGACCGAGCCATCTTTGTGCATGAATTTATCTCTCACAAAATCATTCACTGTAAGTTTTATGGCCTTCTCTGGGGCAACTCCCAGTAACTGTGGCAGCAAACCTCTGTACAGTCCAAAGAAGCCTTCATAGCGGAGCACCTTCTTAAAACAGTCAAAGCTGTTCTTGTACATGAGCTCCCCCACAAAGGAGCCAGTGGACCGTTGGTTCTGCATTCGAGTCTTTACAAGATCAATAGGATACACAGCGGTGGCTCCAACAGCTCCAGCAATAGAACCCAGACCAAACCTGTAGGCTGACTCTGCGAGTTGGAGATGGCTCAGAGGTTAAGAGCATTGCCTGTTCTTCCAAAGGTCCTGAGTTCAATTCCCAGCAACCACATGGTGGCTCACAACCATCTCATAATGGGGTCTGGTGCCCTCTTCTGGCCTGCGGGTATACACACGGACAGACTATTGTATGCTTTATCTATTAATTTAAATAATAAAAGACAAGGTGATATAGTTAGAAGATGTTTTGTATTTTTAGCATACAAAAATAAAAGAAACGCCACCTGGAGTTTCTCATTTTATACTGTTCATATTAAGAAGAAATAATCCAATGGGACTGAGGGATAAAGTATAATAAGTGACAGTTTTAAGAACAGATTATTGAAAAAGTATAGTACAAATACAATTCTTTACTTGGTCTCCATTTCATGAATTTCATTGAACTCCAACTTAATTTTTTGGTTATCCAAAGTAATTCTACCTATAAAATTTTGATTAAAAAGTAATTGTTGCTTCCTCAGAATCAAAAAAATCAAAAATGTCCATTGAATATTAGTGTTAAGAAATGCTTTAGTCAGCAGAAAGCTAATCATTTGAAAATTATATTTCTTCTCTGTAAAAAAAAGAGATAATACTGTTTATCACGAGAAATTTAAATAAAAGAACAGAAAGAAATTGTAAGCTTGTAGTGTACAGGATATTACTTTTTTCCCTAGACAATGGCATGAATGTTCTGGCATAAACCAAACACTTTCTTATTTGATTAAAAGTCTGCTGCAGAAAGCAACTACTGCTTACTGAACCAATAACCCATGGTGGACTAATGCATAACCCTAAGGCATACCCTGATACTATTTCTCTGCTAAATGAACATGCTGTCAAACTTCTCCCTTTGTTCTTATCATTATATTCATATATCAGTGCACCTCTCAGTCCTTATCAGAGAACCTTCCTTTTGGAAGATTGGAGATTAGTAGTGACTCGCAGCTGGTTATTGTGAGAGAACAAGAGACTGTGAAGTGATACTATAAATGGAATGTCTGTATCACACTCCCTCCCTTCAAAGCTCAGGGGTGAGTAGAGAAGAAAGGGATGAAAGACTGCAAGAATCAGAGTACTAGACATCTGCAGCAAAGCACTTTTTTTGGAAATAACACGACTGTTGCAGAGATGAATTGCATGGCTTTGTCTGTGGCCCCCAAACCTGCAGGGCAGCCATAGTTATTGTATGAAAGTCTAGAAATATCACAAAACAAAGACAATGGAGCTCTGTTTGATTTTTAATTATAGAATAGTAAGTATAATTCAATTTTATTATAGATCATGTCAAACTTAAGGAAATAAAGTATATAAAAATAATCAGAAATACTTAATTTTCTCTGTAAGATTGTGTCAATGATAATCTGAAAACTTATGTATTATAACTTTTTATTCATTAATGAAGTAAGGAAGTAAATCTTGTCTAATTGTTAAGAGAATTTAGAACACTGTAAAATGTTGCCTGGAGGAGACAAATTGCCATCAGTCCTCCATAGTTTATTTTCAGAGACACAATAACAACATTTGGATCATACAGCACAGCGGTGTTTATTCTTCATGGTCTGGGGCAGCTGATAGAGTGGAAAGAAGCAAGCATGAGACACTCCTTTGGTTCTAAACTTCATAGAATCTGCCTCAGTGTGGAATATTATCAAAAATATCAGTTGACATATTGCTCCAGCATTGATTTTTCCTACCCTAATGAAAACCACAGAACTCATACCTAATTTAACAAATGTTTAATAACAACTCCATGCCATTCTGGAAGAAATATAAATAAAACACAGGAATGCTTAGAATTCTGCCATGTTTCAAATAATTTTAAAAGATTCAAATATTTCCATGTTATGGCTGCTGCTCAAATTCTATAATATCTGGTAAGACTTTTTATTATGTATTGTATTCTTGAGTGCAATGTGAGAAATATGAGGATGATATTGGTAATGCATATCTGATAAATTAGATAAATGTGCCTATCATGATTGAAATATTTATCACATAACTAATGTTTTGGCAATTCAAAATGCATAGTTAAATTCCATGTATGACATTTGATCATACTGAAAAAAAAAATGTCTTGGCAAGATTTCTGATTCTACTAGACAGTACACACACTTTACCTATGATATGTATTTATCAGATGGGTCCAAAAGACATATTTATAACATGGAGGGGATTAAGAAGCATTTGTAACATCTTCCATGAGGTGCCTACCCAAGCCCAGTTGATGTCAGCAGCATACCCAGATCTCCAAGACTCTAAGTAAAATAAATCTCATTTCTTTATCAAAAAAGTATCTGTAATTCCAACATATCAACTTTAATACATAGAAATGACCTAAAAATAATCAGATAGCAAATTTTAAAGTCTACGACATCCTGCACAGCCTAAGGATGGAGAGCATAGACTTAAAGCACACGTTTCTTTATGATTTTCCTCACTGCCTCTTTCACATCTTTATTTTTCAAACTGTAGATGAGAGGATTAAGCATGGGAATCACTACTGTATAAAACACAGAATCAACCTTGTCCTGCTCCATTGAGTAGCTAGTAGTAGGTCGCAAGTACATAAAGAGAATTGAACCAAAGAAGATGGTGACAGCCATGAGATGGGAGGCACAGGTGGAAAAGGCTTTGTGTCTTCCTTCAGCAGAGGGCATCCTCAATATAGCAATGAGGATGCAGAGGTAGGAAATGAGAACAATCAGAACACAGCTGAGAACAGTAAAACTGGAAAAAGCCATGATCACGATGCCATTGATATGGATGTCAGAACAAGAGAGCTTGAGCAGGGGCGGGGTGTCACAGTAGAAATGGTTGATTCTATTAGAGCCACAAAAGGACAATCTGAAAGTCATCCCTGTGTGGATGGCTGCATTGCCAAAGCCTGCTAGGAATGAGGTAGTCACCAACATGAAACAAATTCTCCCAGACATGAGAACTGGGTACAGCAGGGGACTCCAAATGGCTGCATAGCGGTCATAAGCCATCATGGCTAGCAGGAAGCACTCAGTTCCCAAGAAGGAGCCAAAGAAGAAGAACTGAGCAGCACAGCCATTGAAAGAAATGCTCTTATCCTCAGCCAGGAGGTTTGCCAGCATCTTAGGAGTGACAGTTGAAGAGGAAGAAGCATCGACAAAGGAAAGGCTGCTGAGAAAGAAGTACATCGGTGTGTGCAGAGAGCGGTCAACCTTAATTAGTGCCATCATGCCCAAATTACCCACCAGGGTCATCATGTAGATCACCAGAAACAATGCAAAGAGGATATTCTGCAGGTCTGAATTGTCTGAGAGTCCCAGAAGGATAAATTTTGTCACTTCTGTCTCATTTTTAGTTTGGACGCCTTTCACAGTTCTGACCATCTGTACTGCAACATAAGAGAAGTTGGAGCATTGCATTATTTAGTTGAATGCATTGCACAAACATAATTATATATTTAAAACATGAAAATTCTAAAGGAATAGTGAACACTGGGGAGATCAATGATATATTAATGCACTGGTTTGGTGTTAAAAATATTGTATCTCAGAACTTTGAGCCACCTCCTAAGGACCTTGAGGCAAATATTTTATTGTCAATTAACTTTGGTTGCATTTCATATCATTTATTGGTTAATTACAACATATCCTTAACAGTTATTTGTGTTTATTGGTTATTATAGTTAAAATGATATTTTCTGGAGAAAATGTCACATTTTTAAAGCACGGAGTATTCCTTCAAAGTCCTAAAGAAAAAGTTAAAATAATAAAAGTTGACAAAAAATAGTCAACAGTGAGAACAATAGTAATTAGTTGAACTTGTGAAGGAGGGAATGATCTATGAGTTGTTACAACTATAGGAAGAAATTGGGGATTTTCTGATATAGCCTGTAGGATTTTAGTATCATACTAATTTTAGAGAATTGGCAACTATAAAAATTTCCATCTGTTCAATATTTAGAATTTTTAGTAATTGGAGAATTCGTTTGCAAAACTGACATGAAAGCCAAGATCAAAAAGGTAAGACCTTCCAGAACAGTGCAAACCTGTAACTGAGAATCACAGACTCATAACAATCCTACCATAGGTTTTGATTGTATTGCTATAATAAACTGAACATCTCCATGACCTGAAATAAAGTATTTTGTATGTTTTCCACTTAATAAATAATAAAATGCAAAAATAGGCATGATAACCTCATTTATATATGTTACAGACCATATATGTATCAAATACTCACTCATTAGCTCATTAGCAAATAAAATATAATTCATTTTAATTTTAACTATCAGTCAAAAACAATTTTATAAAAATAATTAATAAACACAAAAGCACTAGAAATAGCATTAGGAGTTTTCTAGCACTACATTGGATCTATACAATTGCTGAATAGGTGTAATTTAGGTGGAAAAAAAATCAATCCTCTCTTGCAAATAGCAATGGAGAGAGATATAGTACAAAGAGTAAAAAGTAAATCCCAACGTAGATGTCCAATCTATTTTTTCCAAATAAAATGTAGATAGCAATAACTGTCAGTAGATAGTTTCAATTATAATCAAATTCTCAAACTGTTAAGTATTTTTTAAAAATGCTAGAATAAGTGTAAATTATTAAATGATGAGACATATCATTAAATTCTGCATCATTCATTGAGGTTATAACATGATGAAGGTGTCATTACGCTGAAGTCTCCCCACAAACCAATGGTGGAGAATTAGCAGATACTGTCAAAAGACTATGTATGTATGGTATCATCTTCACGTGCTGAGGTTAAGGAAGTATGGAGGCACTCACCAGCCAGTGGTACATTCTAAAGCATAACACAGACTTTGTGATGCACAAAGTTTTCCCATCTCTGACATCATATTGCATATGTCTATGGGCCCCCGACACAAATGGATACCCTGGATCCTCTCTCATGGAATGGTAATCATCTGTGAACTTCAATAACAACTTTAGAAGCAAGGAAAAGAATAATGGATGTTTTTGTATTATCCTTCCCAACATGAAGAACAGCCACAGCCAACATTGTGAGCTACCTTAACTCTCTAGAAAATATTTAGTTATACTAAAAGTCAGCATATTTATTGACAAGAGCATGTGATTGCTGAAAACCCTTTGTTAGAATTCCCAATAGTGAACATCATTTTTTACCCAAACACGGTATGATTTGTATCTCATAATATGAGCAGCAAGCATCCATCTCTTGTATTAAACAAAATAGCTGTTCTGTTTCCCTGCAATAACCACCTTCATGCAGCTGAAATTTCTCAAACTGCTGTCCCAAGGGCAGGTGTTTCTAGTCTTAAATTTCCAACAGTTTTTGAAAATAGATGTGAGATTTCATTGGCTGTTTCTTGTTATTAAAAAATGGCCCAAATTAGGCTGGACATAGTGGCACACGTTTT